TGAGCCACCATGTGGGAGCTGGGAATTGAACTCAGGACCTCTGGCCAGCCCTAGAGGCCCTGTCTTTTAAAAGGGAAAAAAGAAAAAAGGAAAGAAAAAAATGAGTATAGTGGGTGAGAGCTGATTTGTAACAGTCACTGATACCTAAATCATAAATACTGCGGCTGATTTCAGACCACCACCTGGAGACTCTCAGCCATCTCCTGTGTAGAAGCCAGCAGTAGACCCTTGTGGAGGAGCAGGCCCAGCTCCCAGGACCCTGAGTCAAAGCAGGCGCAGGTAGCTGAACCCTCCAGTCTGGTTCACCTGAGGCCTGTGGGTCGCTCAGTTCCTCTCCTTATCCTGACCCTGCCTCTTGGTCTCTTCATTTCTTTCCCTTCCCCGTCTTTTTTTTTGGGCTTTGACAATGGTGGGATGGAGCTGCAGCCCACCAGCCCAGTTTTCCTTTTTTCGTACAGGGCTTCATGGAGCCCAGACTGGCCTCATGTTTATGTAGCTGAGGGTGAACTTAGATTATTGAGTCTCCTGCCTCCATTGCCCAGGTGCTGGAGAAACCAGCCTGTGACTCCAGGCCCAGCCTGTGCAGTACTGGGAATCAAACCCAGGGCTCTGTGCTGCATGCTGGACAAGGCTCTGCCAGCTGAGCCCCAGCCCCAGCTTTTACTCTCTGTTTATGCAAGTCTCCTGTCCCCCAGCCATCTGTGTGGCTGTTGGATTGCTGTCAATGAGCGTGACATAATTCCTAACCTAGAGGGTACCCCTAACATTGTGGACAGATGGGGGAACCCTCTCAGGGCTCAGCTTGCTACCCAGAAGTCCCTTGGGGTGTCACCTGCCAGTAGCCAGCCAATAAGGCAGAGGCAGCAGGAGGTGCAGGCCACTTCCTGGGTTCTCAGTAAAGGGCAAGTATTGGGGGGTGGTGAGGGTGTTCCTTGTTCAAAGAAGGACACATGAGGAGCGGAGCTGGTGAGAGTCCTAAGAAGGACGAATTCAGAGCTGAGGAGTAGAGTTTGGGAGCAAGGAAAGCTGAGAAAGCAGGACCCAGACCTCACATGGCTCCACAGACCCAAAGCAAAGCCCAACAAAAGCAACCATTACTAGTAGCTACCATTGGTCTGTGCAGGACAGAGGAGCAAGAGGGAGATCTGAAATTTAGAAAGGTGTTCTGGCCTGGGGTTCAGAAAGGGGACCAGGAGCTGTGGGGAAGCTGCTGTCGACAGGGCAGGAGGTGACGGGTGGTACTTGAGCTGGGCAAGCAGAAGGAGCAGAGCCAAAGGTCAACCCAGCTGCTGTTTTGCTGGGCTGAGCACACTCAGTGTGTGCCAGGCCCTGGTCTAGGCACTTTACATATATTGTCATGTAACCCTCCAGACACCTCTTGGAGCCATATACTATATATTTTATATACTATGTCACATGGTTATATACAGTATGTATCTGTAGTACAGTACATTGCAGTTAAGAAAACCAAGGCCCAGGAAGACTGAGACACAAGGCTACAGGCTAAAAGTGACAAGAGCTCATTTCAAAGCTGGTGATGGCCGAGGTGAAGGTGGCAGGAGGGTATTTGGATACAAGGACACCCTCTGCCCCCCGGGGTGAGGAGCCCCTGAAGGAGGCTGGGGAGGATGAGCTGGAGAAGAGAGATGCCATTTGAACAGGATGTCAGGAACTTGGGGACATCCAGCTAGAGGTGTTCTTTACAGAGACATTCATTCCTGTAGCTCCTGGAGAGGCTGGGCTGGAAGAAGGGATTTGGGGGTCACTTGTGGTGGAAACTAAGAGCAGAGATGAGCAATCCTGGGAGATTGGGTGGAGAGTGGGGGAGGGACCCGAGGACCCCAGCTTCGAGGCTGGGAAAGGACAACAGCTGACAGAGTAGGGAGCCATGTAGGGAGCAGAAGGGTAGGGGACAGAGGTGAGCACAGCAAAGAGAGATTCTGGTGAAGGCGAAGGGGGAGCAAGATCATGGGCAGTGCTTCATGGAGGCTGTGTTAGGAAGTATTCCCTAGGCCAGAGGACCTTGTATGCTGTGAACAAATACCTGATTGATCCCAGTAGGAAACACACCAAAGTCAGGATACTGCCATAGTCCAACTTGGTGAACCAATGAGTTTGCTGGGGTTCCTTGCAGGAGTGTGGGTGAGGGGTCATTTACAGGAGGAGGAAGAATGACTCAAAGGCAGCTGCATCAATACGTGGATGATGCTCATGAAAATGGAGTCTCTGGGGCTTGCTGCACGACTTGCAAGAAACTCCACAGATCCCAGTGTCTGCCAGGCGACTCCACCAATCTGAACCTCCTCAGCAGTTCATCCATACACCTCTGGTCAGTTTCAGGGACTTCGTGAGAGTTCTGAATTGTGTATTTCTTGAGTCTTAATGAGCCTCCTTTAGAACTTCTGGAGTCTAAAGGAACCTTCCCTCAGAATTTTCTGAGTCATTAGAATTTACTAAATTTCAGTGAACTTCCATCAGGGTGGTTTGTTAATAAACCTCCAAGGAAATGGCTACACAAAACTTTGCTTGGATAGAGGTGAGAGCCAGGAAGCAGGGATGTAGGAGGGTCCATTTTCCCCTGAGCTTGGCTGGAAAGGTGGAGGTGGTTGAGCATGGTGCAGTGACTTCCTTTAGCGTGTTCTAAATGTGTGCATTCACATCCTGGGCCCCATCAACTTAACACAGCCCAGACACTGCAGCAATCAGAATTCTTAGATGGCTGCTCTGGAAAGCCAACCTTTCCATCCAATCTAGATGGAAAATAGTGTTTCTTACCTTTCAAGAATATTTTCAATCATATAAAGAGTAGGCTGAAGTGTAGCTCAGTGGTAGAGCTCAGGGTTGGATCTCCAGCATGGAAGAAAAAAAAGGAAGAATAGAAAGTAGAAGGCAGGCCTGAGGATATAGCTCAGTTGGTGGAGAGCTTGCTTGGAATGAAGTCCTATGTTTGATCCCCCACACCACATAAAACTGGTGAAGAACCGGGCAAGAGAGACAGAAGGAAGACATAGGTGAGTATCAGTGAGTTTGAGACCAGCCTGGTCTAGATAGCACATTCAAGGCTAGCCAGGGCTGCAAAGTGAGCGCTTGTCTCAGAACAACAGACAAAAACCATTTGCAAGCTGGGCATAGCTTTAATTCCAGCACTCAGGAGGTAGAGGCAGGTGGATCCCTGAATACAAAGCTAGCCTGGTCTATAGAGTGAGTTCCAGGATAGCCAGGGCTACACACACAAAAAAAATGCTGTCTTAAATATAAAAATTAAGCCAGGAGGTGGTGTCACACGCCTTTAATCCCAGCATTCAGGAGACAGAGGCAGGTGGATCTCTTGAGTTCCAGGCCAGCCTGGTCTATAGAGTGAGTTCCAGGACAGCCAGGGCTACACACACACACACACACACACACACACACACACACACACACACACACACACACAAACTTGTTTTGTAAAACCAAAATAAATAAACAAGTAAAAAAAAAATTCAACAACAGAAACCCCAACTGTGATGACAAGTGCTGTAACCTTAGCACTTGGGAGTGCAAGCAGGAAGGAAAGACATTGAAGGTCATCTTCATCTACACAGCAAGTCCCAGGCCACCTTCTGTGACATGAGACCCCATCTCAAACAAAACAAGACACCAGAATATAATGAACCCTCAAATTCCTACCATCCCAGGGCTGGCTTGCGTTGTCCATACCCCCTGGTTGTCCCAGGCTCTGGGATATTTGAGAGCAAATCCCAGAAATATAAGTTCATCCATAACGCTTTAGTATATTTCTCCTAGGTATTGAAAAACCATAACCATAGTACCATATTACACCTAAAAATTTTCCTAAATCCTGAAAAACCATAACCCCAATACCATATTATACTCAAAAATTTAACTGCAATTCTTTAACGTCATTAAATATCCATTGTTCCAATTTTCCCAACTGTTTTATTATTTTTCCAGGGTACTGAGATCACTAGCATGAGCCACCACACCCAGTTATACTTTGCATTTATTTGCTCTTTCTTCTTTTTTTTTTTTCTTTTTCTTTCCTCCTCCAAAGGCAGGGTCTCACTATGTGGCTGGCCTTAAACTCACAGTATAAATTAAGCTTCTCCTTTCTGAGGGCTAAAATTACAGGTGCCACCACACCCAGCTTTGTTTTTGTTTTTTAAAGATTTATTTATTTATTGTGTACACAGTATTCTGCCTGCATGTGTCCCTGCAGGCCAGAAAAGGGCACCAGACCTCATTACAGGTGATTGTGAGCCACCATGTGGTTGCTGGGAATTGAACTCAGGACCTCTGGAAAAGCAGTCGGTGCTCTTAACCACTGAGCCATCTCTCCAGCCCCCCATTTTTGTTTTTAAGACAGAGTTTTACTATGTTGCCCTGGTACTTGCTATGTAACCCAAGGCAGTCTTCTCAAACTCACAGTGGTCCTCCTGCTTCAGCCTTTTGAGTGCTGAGATTACAGGCACATGCTACCTTGCCGAGCTGCATGTCTTTTAAGACATAACTTTCTTTATTCATGGAATTTATTTGTGGAGGGCCCAGGGGCACTGGCAGAATGAGCTGTTGGGCGTGCGGGACCACAGAGGGTCACAGCTGAAAAGGAGGGTGACGGGATGCAGGACTCGGGGGAGAGGGGCCGGGTGGGTGGCCAGAGAGCAGGCTGTGCATGTACTGTTAAAGGAGAGGATGCAAAAGACTGCCCCTCAGCAAGCAGGGAAGGCCAGGGCTGTGGAAGAGCAGGACCTGGCACTGAGCGTCCCTGAGCACCCCATCATCCCGTCACCAGCCACTGGAGCTGAGGGAGAACGGGAAGACAGCTTCAGCCAACGAACAGGGGCAGAACTCACGTGGGCAAGGAGCCCAGGGGACAGCCAAGGCTGCAGGGTGGAGTGAGGGAGGGTGGGGCCTGAGATCAGACCTGCAAGAGAAACAGGATGTGTGTATAGGGGGGTGGGGAGCACAGCCAAAAACCAAGATCCTGGAAGGTCCCGGGATCTCCCTGCCTGACTGCGTATCCTGAATCCCATCGTTGGCCTTACAGCCAGGATCAGTTCTGGTGCCCAGGAACCCGCTCCTTTGCAATGTTGGGGATCAGAGGTCCATCACCGTTCCTCTACCTTCTTTTCCCACTGCTGGCTCTGTACCGTGCTGAAAGGAGCCACCCTCCTCAACGCAGGTTTGAGTACAAGCTCAGCTTCAAGGGACCGAGGCTGGCAGTTCCCGGGGCTGAAATCCCTTTCTGGAGCCACCACGGAGGTGAGGAACAAAAGGGGACTGGCCACGCCCAGGGCCCTTCAGAGTGCTAGAGGGTCCTATAGCCAGATGGACAGTGAGTGTGAAAGGCTCTATGCAGGGAGAGGGGTAGCACTGGGGTGACAGTGCCTGGCCAAGACCGCCTCAGACCTGTCTCCTGCTCCGCCATGCCCAGTGACTTTGCCTTTCAAGACATCCTTTCTTTGTTCATGGGACTTTTTTGTGGAGGACACAGAGGCACTGGCAGGATGAGCTATTGGGCATGCAGGACCACAGAGGGCCACAGCTAAAGAGGAGGGTGACGGGATGCAGGGCTGGGGGAGAGGGGCCGGGTGGGTGGCCAGAGAGCAGGCTGTGCGCCACAGTTCCACCTCCCTACCGGCTTTGGTTTCTTCTGAGCTGCTCCTGTGCCCCAGGGCTTTTTGCCTTTTCTGTTTGCAGCCCCCCACCCCGACCTCGTTCCTCTGCCTTCTGACTGTGAACACACAGGTGTGCACATATACACTAATGCACACACCTGATATGCCTGATGCACAATAACAAGGCCTCTTGAACAGGGCTAAGCCTCCTCCCTGCTGTCCTCATCCAGCAGGACTGGAGGTCTGCTGGAAGGGAGGCACTGTGTCCCGCCATTTTGTTAGAGCGGGCACCAGGCCCTTCCCTGTGCATTGGAGGTGGACGCAGACACAAGAGGATCTTAACCCACAGGTCTGTGCTCAGGGTCTTCCAAACCCAGACCTACAGTTTGATCTTGTTCATAAAAGGGTCTGTGATGATGTACTGAAAACTCTACAATATGCAGGATCTTAAATTAAGAGTAAGAGAAAATTAAGAGTTAGAATAGGTCATGAAATAAGTCTGGGAACATGGCTCTAGGTCATGAAATAAGTCTGGGAACATGGCTCCAGGTCATGAAATAAGTCTGGGAACATGGCTCATTTCCAAAATATACCATGAAGTTTGCCCAGCCATGAATTTCATCCAGAGCCTCCTAGCCGGCAAAGTAAAAAGAAAAAGAAGATTGGCTATGTATTGCTATCTGAGATACAAGTTCCGAACAATGGCATGATTGCTGACTAAGATGCTCCAAGATGGCAGGAACTTCAATTCTCCTGCACAGGAGCCAGGGGGTAAATGAAGGATGGGCTCTTTCACAGCCAGGTGCTGCCTTAGGATAGGATGGTAGAGGCGGTACAATACTCTCTGCTCAGAGCCTTGCCGCATCTAAGGTGTCACAGAGCATGTGGGGGAGTAGAGGTACATCCTCCAAGATCACGGGACAATGTGATTATTATCTATCCATTCATCTCTCCTTTGATCAGAGCCCCACCCAGTGCTCCCTGGGCCCAGCATGGATACCCAGGACTGAGTCAGGCTCTGTCTGGGATGAGGTCCCAGACACTCCACATAATGAGGAGTGTGTAATCTTACTCAGATAAGCCTTGCCTCCTGCAAGCCTCCTAGGACTGGGTGTGGTGGTAGAGGCCTGTAATTCCAGCACTCAGGAGGCTGAGGCAGGAGAATCAAGAGCTTGAGGCTAGCCTGGACTGCTTGGCAAAACCCTGTCTTTTTTATAAAAAGAGCTGAGATAGCTCAGCTAGTAAAAGCATTTGCCATGCAAGCCAGACATCCTTCCTTTGATTCCCAGAGCCCACTGTGGAAGGAGTCAACCAACTATTGAAAAACTATCAAAAGCTGTCCTCTGACCTCCATCTGTGTGCCTGCACCTGTGCTTACACACACACACACACACACACACACACACACACACACACACACACACGCGCACACACACACACGCATGCACGCACGCACGCACGCGCTCTAATGTTTTAAAGTATGAAAACAGTGTTGGGCTAGCAATGTTGCTCAGTGGCAGAGTGTTTGACATGCACAAGGCCCTGGGTTGAATCTCAGTCCCACACAAAACCAGGTAGGATGACAATCTGTTATCCCAGCACTCTGGAAATGGAGGCAGGAGGATCAGGAGTTTGGGGTCATCTTTGGCCATCCAGAGAGTTCTAGGCCAGCCTGGTCTATTTTATACAAACAAGCAAACAAACAAAACAACCGCTCACTTCAGACAAGAGTGGCTTCTGGGGACTCTGGGACTTCTGTGCTTCCCCACACGCCACTGGCCTTTGCAGAGCGAACAGCCTGGATTAGCAACCTCCACAATGTCTTGGCAGGGTCCGGGCCTTGGACCAGGTTCCAGGCTGGTAGATGAGAGGGTGGAGAGACACCTGGAATGGAGCCTCTGATTCCCCCCTCCCTCCAGTTCCTGCCATGTCTGCCTCAGCTTCACACTGTCTTCTCCCACCACAGGGAGCTCCTTCTGACCTGCGCACAGCCACAGCGCCAGGGTCATTCATCCTCATGCTTTCCCAGCCTCACCCTTTCCTCAGCACCCTACAGGCCAAAGCTTGCCTCAGTCCCTCTGCCATAAACCTTCCTCTTCTCGGGCCACCCTCGTCCCCTCCTCCAGGAGCCTCATCTAGTCACCCCAGGAGCCCCCCAACTTGTTTGTCCTCCTTACTCTCCCATAGCTCTCTCTCAGGACTGGAAGCCGTAGTGGAAAGAGATGTGTTTGAACTTCTGTAAAATGGTATCTCCTTTCTTGGGGACAGAATCTATGGTGATGATGATGTGTGTGTTCACGTGTGCGTGCACACATGCACTAACCCATGCCTGCGCATTTGAAGGCCAGAGTTGACATTAGGGTATATTCCTCAATTGCTTCTCTGCCTTTGCTGTTGTTGTATTTGGTTTTTCAAGACAGGGGTTCTCTGTGTAGCCCTGGCTGTCCTGGAACTGGCTGTCCTGATCGCTCCGTAGATCAGGCTGGCCTTGAACTCACCCTGTAGACCAGGCTGGCCTCAAACTAACAGAGATCTGCCTGCCTCTGCCTCCTGAGTGCAGAGATCAAAGGTGTGTACCACCACCACCCAGCTTATGCTCAGCTTTTACGAGGGTGTTGGGCATCAAAACTCAGATCCTCATTCTTCCACAGCAAGCCCTTCACCCATTGAACCATCCCCCCCTCCCCTGGCCCCAGGACAGACTCTGATGTAGCCAAAGCTGGCCTCCAACTGACTACATAGCCAAGGATGACCTTGAATTGCTGATCCTCTTGCCTCCACCTCCTAAATGCTGGGATTACAGGTGTGCGCCACACCCCCAGTTTTATGGGGGTGCTGGGGATGGAACTCGGAGCTTTGTGTTTACTAGGCAAGTACTCTACCAACTGAGCTCCATCCCCAGCCCCATAAAATGGAATCTTAGGAAAATAGATAGTGTGCCGGTGGGTGCTGGCACATGCCTTTAATCCCAGCACTTGGGAGACAGAGCCAGGCGGATCTCTGTGAGTTCGAGGCCAGCCTGGTCTACAGAGCGAGATCCAGGACAGACACCAAACAAAACTACACAGAGAAACCCTGTCTTGAAACAAACAAACAAAAAATAGACGGCATGGATTTCCAGTGAGGCTGAAGTGGGACCCAGCAAAGCTCTTGCTGCCTTGCCCGGGTAATGATCACCTTTTCCCCAATGGACTCTTGCCTCTCACCAGCCAGCCCCACATCAAATGACAAGGTCTTGGTGTGAGCTCTTTCCCAGGGCTCGGCTTTCACCAATGAGACATAGAGGAGGGAGAGGAGGGTCCAGTGGTCCCCAGCTGCCCTGCCCCACAGATGCCATCCCAGGCCTAGAGGAAGTGCGGCTGGCTCCATCTATGAAGAACCGGAGTGGTGCCATGTGGAGCAAGATCTCTGTCTCCTTCCCTGCCTGGGAAGTAGAGATGCAGATGAGGGTGACTGGGCCAGGGCGCCGGGGAGCCCTGGGTATGGTGAGTGGTCCTTACTCATATCTGTTGGGGGAGCAGGGGATAAGCCCCAGGTGCCAGTATCCTTCCGAGTCCCTGACCTGTGGGCTGGGAACTTGCAGGCCATGTGGTACATCCAGGACAGGGGTCAAGTCAGCTCTGTCCCAGAGGGGTTGGTCTCGTGGGATGGCATCAGAATCTTCTTTGATTCCTCCGCCAATGATGTCCAGGTGGGTAGCCATCTCCTGCCCATCCTCCTGTCTGTCTTAACTCTAACCCTCACTCTCCTGATGTGCCTGAGGCTCGGGCTGATTGTCACCTCCCATGCAGAACAGCCCTGCCATCCGAGTGCTGGCCAGTGATGGGCGTGGCCTCCAGGAGCAGTTTGGGTAAGGGCCTGAGGGAACTGACCCCCACCTCCACCCCATTCCTGGCCTTAGCAACCACCTGCACTTCCTCCCCTAGAGAGCCTATCCCTCCTAGGGAGAGCCCCAGGTGAAGTGACCAAGGCTGAAACTACCATGAGGGTCTCACTCCAGACATCCTTACTAAGCGTGGGTTGCTCGGTGAGGACACTTAGGCCCAGAGAGGCTAGTTGACCTGAGTGGTTACACAGCAGTGGTCAGGGAGGATCTAGGCACTAGCCGCACTGTTGTCTCTTCTTTCTCCCAGATGAGGTGGCCTCCTGTCCTTCCCCTGCTGGCTGCCCTAAGTGGCTGGACTGGTTTGTCAATGTGTCTCAGCAAATATCCCTTAGCCCATCACAATTAGGATAATTGCTGACATTTATGGAGTTGGGCTTACTGTATACCAGGCACAGTGCCCAGACATTTGACATTGTCTTGTGAACCCTCATAACACTATTATGAGGTCGTTGCAATTATTACCCTCATTTTAAAGACAACGATACTAGGCTCTGGGAGGGGGAAAGAACTTGCCCAAGGTTATACAGCCGGGCAATCACTGCCTTGAGTCTGGCTTCTCCCTGCTCTCTGCTACCCAACTCCTGGCTGAAGGTGACAGCATAGGTCCCATCGTGTGCACCCATGGGTCCAAGAACTCAGGCTCAGCTCTCTGCTCCTAATTCCCCGGACCTGCTGAGCCTCCCTTGGGGGAAGGTGAGCTAGCCATGTTGTCCTTGGCCTTTGGGACAGGTCCCTTAGTGTCTGCCTCAGTCTGAGCCCTGTCACTTGGGGAAAGGGACGGGCCTTGGAGCTTACAGGAAGCGGAGGGAGGGAGGGGCAGTGGGATTAGGAGGTGAGCTGGGGGAGAGAAATTGGAAACCCCATGGTTAGCCTGGCCTCTGTCCCTTTGCAGATGCCCCTGGCTCCTGTGAACTCTTAAGTTCCAATCAACACTGCCACTCAGAGCTTGCTTTCTTCTTCCTCCTCCTCCTGCCAAGAAAGCAAACTATAGCAAGAGAGCCTCAAGCTAGACAACAGGGACTTGTCCCAGGCCAGGCCACCCAATGGGGACAGTGACAGTTGAGGCTTGGACAGAGCTGCTCCTGGGACTGTCCCCTGTTGGCCAGTCCATGGGTCCTATGTGGTCTGGCTGCATTCCAAGTGTCCTTAGGGATGGCAGTGTCCGGGAACTGGGCTCCTGTCACCGGGACTTCAGGAACTGGCCATACCCCTTCCGAGCTCGGGTCACCTACTGGAGGCAGAGGCTGCAAGTGAGTCACCCCTCCAGATTCTGTGGGAGCCTCTGGTGGGGTGTAGAGCTGTGGTTTGGGGGTGCCTAGCGTTCCAACAGCCACATGCCTGTGACCAATGTGTTACTCTCACACTCGTCTTCACACCCATGTGAAGGCTCTGGTATGCTCAGACCAATAAATACTCGTGGTCTTCCACTCAAACAAAGAATTTTTTTAACAATATTACATTTTATTTGATTTTTATTTTGGGGGGTGGGTGGGGTGGGGAAGGTGTTGGTTTTTTTTTCTTAACATCCTGACTACAATTTCCCCTCCTTCCTATCTTCTTAGTCAGCCCCCCCCCCCCCCCCCCCCCCCCCGCATTCACTCCTCCTCCATTTCTATTCAGAAAAGGGCAGGCCTCCATGGCTATCAACCAAACATGGTACATCAAGTTGCAGTGAGACTAGGCACCTCCCCTCATAGTAAGGCTGGATGAGGCAACCTAGTATGAGGGAGAGGGTGCCAAAAGCTGACATAAGAGTCAGAGACAGGGCCGGGCGGTGGTGGCGCACGCCTTTAATCCCAGCACTCGGGAGGCAGAGCCAGGCGGATCTCTGTGAGTTCGAGGCCAGCCTGGGCTACCAAGTGAGTTCCAGGACAGGCGCAAAGCTACACAGAGAAACCCTGTCTCGAAAAACCAAAAAAAAAAAAAAAAAAAAAAAAAAAAAAAGAGTCAGAGACAGCCCTTGCTCCCACTGTTAGGAGTCCCACAAGAAGACCAAGCTACACAACTGTGACACATGTGCAGAGGCCTAGGTCAGCCCCATGGAGGCTCTCTAACTTTCGGTTCAGTCTCTGTGAGCCCCTGTGAGCCCAGGTTAGCTGATTCTGTGGGGTTTCTTGTGGTGTCCTTGACTCCTCTGGTTCCTACAATCCTTCCCCTCTTCTGCAGGATTCCCCGAGATCCACCTAATGTTTGGCTGTGGGACTCTGCATCTGTTTCCATTAGTTGCTGGATGAAGTCTCTCTGATGATAGTTGGGCTAGGCACCAATCTATGAATATAGCAGAATATCATTAGGAATCAGTTCATTGACTTTTTTTCCCTCTAGTCTTGTTTGGTTCTATCCTAGGTCTCTGGGCCGTCCAGCCTCTGGGTCCTGGTGCTCTAGGCAGTGTCAGGGGTGAGCTCCCTCTTGTGGCATGGGTCTCAAGCTAGACCAGTCATTGGTTGGCCACTCGCACAATTTCTGTGCCACCTTTACCCCAGCGTATCCTGTAGTCAGGACAAATTGTAGATCAACGGTTATGTGGCTGGATTGGTGTCCCAATCCCTCCACTGGAAGTGCTGTCTGGTTACAGGAAATGGGCAGTTTAGGCTCTGCATCCCCCGTTTCTAGGAGTCTTAGCTATGGTCACCCGCATAGATGCCTTGGAATTTCCATTGCACTAGGTTTCTAGCTCATCACCAAGATGTCCCCCCATTCCGTTGTCTCTCCCAGTACTCTCTCCCTTCATCCTCCCCCAGACCTGATCCCTCCTCTTCCTGTCTACTCGACCACCACCTCCCTCCACCCTTGATGTCTCTTCTATTTCCCCTTCCTGGGGAGATCCATGCATTACCCCCTTGAGTCCTCCTCGTTACTTAGCTTTTCTGGGCCTGTGGATTGTATCATGATTATCGTTTACTTCATAGCTAATATCTACTTATAAGTAAGTACACACCTTGTTTGTGTTTCTGGGTCTGGGTTATCTCATTCAGGATGATTGTTTCTAGTTCCATCCATTTGCCTGAAAATTTCATGATGTCATTGTTTTTAACAGCCGATTAATACTCCATTGTGTAAATATACTACAATTTCTTTATCCATTCTTCAGTTGAGAGACATCTAGGTTGTTTCTAGTTTCTGGCTATTATGAATAAAGCTGCTATGAACATAGTTAAGCAAGTGTCCTTGTGGTAGGATGGAGCATCCTTTGGGTATATGCCCAGGAGTGGTATAGCTGGGTATTGAGGTAGATTGATTGCCAATTTTCTGAGAAACTGCCATATTGATTTCTAAAGTGCAAGTTTGCTCTCCCACCAACAATGGAGGAGTGTTCCCCTTGCTCCACATCCTTGCCAGCATGAGCTGTCACTTGTGTTTTTGATCTTAGCCATTCTGACAGGTGTAAGATGAAATCTCAAAGTAGTTTTGATTTGCATTTCCCTGATGGCTAAGGAGGTTGAACGTAAGTGTTTCTCAGCCATTTGAGATTCCTCTGTTGAGAATTCTCTGTTTAAATCTGTACCTCCATTTTTTGATTGGATTATTTGGTTTTTTGATGTCTAGTTTCTTGAGTTCTTTATATATTTTGGAAACTAGCCCTCTGTCAGATGTGGGGTTGGTGAAGATCTTTTCCCATTCCGTAGGCTGCCGTTTTGTCTTATTGGCAGTGTCCTTTGCCTTACAGAAGCTTCTCGGTTTCATGAGGTCGCATTTATTAATTGCCTATCTTAGTGCCTGCACTATGGTGTTCTGTTCAGGAAGTTGTTTGCTGTACCAGTGCATTCAAGGATATCCATGCCCCCTTCTCTGGATTTATGTTGAGGTCTTTGATCCATGTGGGCTTGAGTTTCATACAAAAAATCTTAACAGATCTTTATTTTTTTTAATTTATTTTATGTGCATTGGTGTTTTGCCATGGGTGTTGGGTCTCCTGAAACTGGAGTTACAGACAGTTGTGAGTTGCCATGTGGGTGCTGGGAATTGAACCCAGGTCCTCTGGAAGAGCAGTCAATACTCTTAACCGCTGAGCCCTTCATACAAAGAATCTCATCAGACCCAGAACATACAAGGATCACATGAAACCAGCCTCCCTGTCATTTTCATGCCATTCTGATCCTAAGCCATGTAGTTTCTATCTTACCGTAGGTCTGGGGAGCCAGTGAATCAGAGTAGGGGTCAGTCTCTTATTCTGGGACCAGGCAGAGGCAGGCGCTCACTCCCTCCATACCCCTCAGGTGTCCTTGAGTGGAGGCCTTATTCCCAATGACCCTGAAGAGGTCTGTGTCAGTGTGGAGCCCCTGCTTTTGGCCCCTGGAGGCTTCTTTGGGGTCTCAGCAGCCACCAGCATCCTAGCAGGTGAGGACCTTACCAGGTAAGTAAGAGCAGGGGGCTGTGTTTGATGATGACAAGACCTTATTGTAGCTTCTAAAACACTTTTGTATGGGGTCAACTACTTCACCAGGTGGTCTGGGCTGGTCACACTCCCTCCCTGGCTTCTCAGTCAGGAGGTCACATTGGCCTTGAAGAGCTATTGAAAGTCTCAAATGGGACACTAGGAATGTCACTGTGTTGGTGAGTGTTCAAGCAGCATTCGGATCCCAGGTGTGGTGGTGCTTGCCTGCAATCACAACACTTGGGAGATAGAGGTGGGCGGATCAGTTCAAAGTTATCCTCTGCTACATAGCAAATTCAGAGGTCAACCTGGGCTACATGAAACCCTGTCTCAAGAAACAAAAAGGTCTCCAAGGAGATAACACACAAGGCATTTTGTATTCTAGTATCAATATTCATAAACCCACTTTACTGGATACTGTAGGATGGTAAAAAGGGGGACAGCATGAGCTACAGCAGAGAACTGAACATCAGGATAGCGTTTAGTGGAGAGCCTGTGGAGGGTCCTCCAGCTGAAAAGCAGGCTGCAGCCAGAGTATGGGAGCCTCGAATGCCAGGACTTTAGTCTTTCGACCCTGGGTACTGGGGAGCCATGGAAAGATCCTAGGGAGAGAAGAGTGACCTGGTTACAGGCTGGGGAAGCAGCTCTCTGTGGTCTGCTGCATGGCTGTTGGGCCCCACTCTGGCTGTGTGTGGTGCAACCCACACATCCCACACACTTGTGTATTTGAGCTCATACCTTCCCCATGAGACAAAAGTCAGAGTTGCCAAGAGTCACACAAGCCTCTCGTTTTCCTGGCAGACAGTAGAGTCCGGATGGATGGGCTGCTGGGTGAAAAGCTCCTTATCTCCCCTTCACCTGTCCCTCTTCCAGATGACCACGATGTCCTGTCCTTCTTGACCTTCAGCTTGAGGGAACCAGGTCCGGAGGTAATGCCAGCCATTTGTGCCTGGGAGAGGTAGCTCTGAGATGTGGCTCTCCTCAGGTGCCTCCACTCACAACAGGGCATCCTTAGACCTGCCATTCAAGTTCTCATCCCAGCCAGCTCTCTGAGCTCTGCTAGTCAGGCCTTGGGCTGGGTAGTGTAGGGGCCAGGGTTCTTCCTCTAGGCTTCCTAGGTGGCATTCACCTTTAAGTCCTGGAGACAGAGGTGGGCGGATTTCTGTGAGTGCCAGGCCAGGGATGTACAGTTAGGACCTTGTCTCAACAACAACAAAACAAAACCACAAAAGCTCAGGGTGGGGGTTGGGAGGGGGGAGAGAAGGAACGCTAAAGAGGGGTCTGAGCCAGCAAGGAAGGGAGAGAAGGCTGCCTGGAGGAGATGAGCTTCAATGAGCACCGTACCTAAAGGCTTCAAATGTCCAAAGACCTGAGCTCACAGTGGGTCGAGAAGGATGTGAGGATGTGGTAGATATGGTGCTCATATGGCTGCAGGGTTCTATGGGGGCCTGGCGGTTGAGCTGTGGGTTCCTCCTTGGTCCCAGTGAGTATGTGGTTAGGGAGGAAGACTGGGCTTCCAGGGGCCCTGCCCCCCCCCACAGGACTCCCATGCATTTGGGTTTGACTTTTTGTCTTTCTTTTCCAGGTGGCCCCCCAGACATTCATTGAGAAGGAGCAGTTCCGCCTGGCTAGGAAGCTGGAAGGGCTGCAGGCAAGGCTGGCCCTGGGCACCAGCCAGGACAGCATTCCACCACTGGACTCCAAAGTCCAGGAAGAAGGTAAGGACCCAGGGAGCAGGCAGGTAGGGCCATAGCACAGTGGAGGGCCACAGGAACCTTAGAACCCGAAGTCCATTAACCAATGGAGAAGTAGAGGCCCAAGGAGGCTGTATCTAATCTGGGCCAAGTATTCTGACCTACCCCCAAGACACATTTTCTTTTCCAATGTGTGTGTGTGTGTGTGTGTGTGTGTGTGTGTGCGCGCCACAGCATTTGTGTGGCAGTCAGAGGACACCTTTGTGGAACCTATTATCTCCTTCCACCTTAACATGGGTTCTGGGGACCTGGGGAGCAAACTTACATTGTCCGGTTTTCCTGGCAAATACTTTTCTGTTGCTCACCCTGCTTGCCAGCCCCCAGACCCATTTTCCGGGGGAGGGTTTTAAAAGCAGAATCTATACCCCCTCATGCACCACTCCAACGCAGATCTACTGCTGCACCCCATCAGCCTTTCCATCTCGGCTCTGCCCCAATCTCCAGGGGAAAGGTTCCTTGGCCTGGAGAATACACTGGGCAGACAAAGCCAGATCCTGCAGGCTCTCCAGGCTCTCTCCAGGCAGTTGGACCAGGCTGAGAGGCAGTGGAAACAGCAGCTGGGGTCTACAGTCCAAGTCAGGCCTGAGGGAGGCTGGGTGAGTGACCTTGGGGCACACTAGTTTCCACCCACAGCTTGAAAGAATGGTGGCTATCTAGAGCTAGCCTGTCAAAGCTTGGAGGGAAAGGAGAGCAGGTCACAGGATGCAACAGGGTGGTAAGTGAGGGGACATTAACACAGAGCAATTGTCCTGGAGCCACAGGGCCGGGCTGCAGTGAAGGGACGCCAGGTATTTGGAATCGGGTCTATAGACGAATGGCAGAAATAGACTAGGCGCTAATTTGCATATGGCTTCATGTGTGATTTGCATAAGACTTGCTTACATGCTCAGTTGCACCAGAATCCTCATTTCATCTCTGCTGCCACCCTGGCTCCTCCCCCAGGTGTCATTCCCTAGGACATACTCTGACTTGGGGAGCAAAAGCTAAACCCAGCCAAAGTGCTGGCTAGTGGACAGAGGGAGCCAGCAGGCTTTGCTGGGCTCTGGCAGTCCAAGGCTTTAATCTTTTGTCCTCAGCCCAGAACCGTCTAGGCTAGGCTGTTGGAGTGACACAGAGGCAGAGGCCCACATTCTAGGTACCTCTGAGCCTACCTTCAGGTCCTGGACTCCACTTGCATGATTCCACTCATCCTCAGAAGTGTCAGCTATCTTTCCAGGTCACTCTGCCAGACTTGGACCCATGTACTGGCCCTCAGTTTGGATCACAGCCTAGGAGAAAGACACAGAGAGGATTGGGTTGGGCTTCTGCCTCAGTGAGGGGGCAGGGACACTTTTTTTTTTTTTTGGTTTTTTTTTTTCGAGACAGGGTTTCCCTGTGTAGCTTTGTGCCTTTCCTGGAACTCGCTTGGTAGCCCAGGCTGGCCTCGAACTCACAGAGATCCGCCTGGCTCTGCCTCCCGAGTGCTGGGATTAAGGGACACTTTTTAAAAGGAGAAGGATTTGTGGAAAGCCTAGAGGGCCCTTTGGGGAGAAACACCACATCTTTGGTGTAGAAGGAGGGTCCTCCAGAAGCCCTGATGGGTAAGTTCTATGGGAGATTCAGTGTGCCTCAAAAGAGGAGAACCATGGCCATTTAGTAAAGCTTCTGGAAGAAGAATGAAGTGTCCCTGGGGAAGATGGACTCTGAGGAGAGAGGCACTGTCCTCTGGACACGACATAAGAGCTGGCCCTCCTGTAGGACACTGCCAAGGTCAGCACCCTGCTCTATGGACAGCGGACTCTGCTCCAGGCCCTGCAAGAGATGAGGTAAGGGTCAGAGTGAGGAGGGGGAGTGAGAGGGAAGAAAGGCTCCCTGTCAAATGCCTGTCCCCGGTGCTGGGGCTATCGGCACTACAACCCTAGCTGGCTTTTCCCCTGCCTGCTGGGGATGTGAACTCAGGACCTTGTGCTCGCAAAGCAAGCACTCTTCCCCACTGAAGCCTCTCCTCAGTCCCTGAGGGCATATAGTTTGACAGAGGCTTTTGGAGGAAGCACAGCCAAGATGAGGCCCTTTGGAGGAAGTGATGTGAGCTCATCTTGCCTCCAGTGTCCTAGAATCTCCCTCTGGCTCACCCTTGCCTGTGGAGCTGCCCATAGAGCTCTGGGGGTGGAGAGATCCCTTGCACGTTATGGTTTCTGTGGCTGTACACCCTCCATCTAGATGCCTGGGGGTGGCAGAGGGCAAGAGCTGGAGTTAGTTCCCCTGGGCTAGACATGAAAAGCAGAGCCCAGAGAGCCTGTCCATAGATGACACTTTTAGAGAATTCTTTGTACATGCTAAAGTTGTCCCAGGATCTAGGGAGAAGTTTTTAGAGTGAAAAGACCAGCCCCAAAGACAAAACTATCAATTATATCTATCCTTTACCATGTGCTGGCCCTGGGGGATTATGGGAAAAGATTAGGTAATTTGGGTACAACCAAAAAGGGTAATGGATCATCTTTCTTGATTTCCATGCCCTACCACACCACCAGGAAAGCAGCTGCCCAAATGGCTTCAGGAGCCCAGGTCATGTACCTGCCTGTGGGCACTAAGCATCACTTTTTTGAGCTGGACCAGATCCTCAGCCTCCTGCAGAAGGACCTCCGGGATCTGGTGGTAAGAAGCAGTGGATTGTACAAGGGCCTCATCCTTGAGGTCTGGTCTCTGCCACCCTTCTCCCAATGCTTCTACAGAGCATCTGTCCAGTACCCTAACAGGCACATCTCTATCTATATGTGCCTGCACACAGGCATGAAGGGACACAGATCTCATCTTTGTTCTCTCTCTCTCTCTCTCTCTCTCTCTCTCTCTCTCTCTCTCTCTCCCCCTCTTTCAGAAAACGACAGCCAAGGCCCCCCGCCCATCTGGCTGGCTCTTAGGAACATCTGCATGTCTTCGGACCAGCATCTTCCTGTTTTTCCTCCTCATCCAGACTGTAGGCTTCTTCTGCTACATGAACTTCAGGTGGGCCTTCCCATGGGCAGGACTTCCCATACCACCTATATGTCTTGGTTCTGGTCTACAACCACTGAACTTGAAATAGGGGACCCCGAAGCTCAGACGGGAACTACCCAGTTCACCAGAGGGCTGGAAGCAGAATATAGACCAAGGGCACCTCACTTACCAAGCACAGTCACCTACTCAGACCCCAGTCCCATCGGGTCCTGCCCCACAGAGCGCACTCTAGAGCGAGCATCTGAAAACTAACTGGTAGCCAGACCTTACGTTGCCAGTGCTGTGATGGCTGGAAGCTTGGAGACTTGGGAAAAAGCAACTGAATCATCTTGGGGGCGGGGTTTGTGGAGGGGGATCAGGGCATTGATCTGGAAAGAATATTTGATTCGGGTCATCAAAGTGACTAAGAGTTTTTCAGTCTGACAGAATAGGTAAAGGCATTGATGCAGAGGGAACAACATCAGAAAAAGCGTGGAGGCATGAAAAAAGCGTCTTTAGGGGAAAGAAAAAGGCAGCAATCTAATACTGTTGAAGTAAAGGGCAGGACCAGTTTGCAAGATTGGGCAAGGAATCTGGGTGTTCTGGATTAGAAATGAATGCCTTTAATCTCAGCACTTGGAAGGCTGGAGCAAAGTGATGCTGAAATCTGGGCCAGCCTGGACTGCATAGTGAGCTCTTGTCTAAAAAAAAAAAGAAGAAGAAGAAAATGTGTGCATAAGAATGCAATTTTGGCACTAAGCCACCCAGAAAGACTTCAAATGCCAGGATGAAATGTGAACGTATTTGGCATGTCAAGGAAGCCATAGAAGGTCCCAGAATATGGGAGGGTATGTACATTGAGTATTGAGAGGCAAGTGTGAGTCTTGGTTTCAGAAGGGAGACTCAAGTAACCTTTTCTCTCTGGCAGCAGACAGGAGCTGGACAAGAGGTTTCAGAAGTACCTGTCCACGGGAAGCCTTCCTCTAGAACCTGCATTACCCACCCCTAGGACACTAGGGGCTCTGAGGAGACAGCCTGTTCCCCTGAGCATGCAAGCTTGACCCATCAAAACCATGTCTTATGGGGAGACAAATGGGGGATGGAGGATTTGGCCAGTATCCTTCCTGATTGCCCACATCTTAGCTTTCAGCAAGTTCATCATATTAAAGGTGAAGTTCCTCTCACTGTGCTCATTCCCTCCCTCATTTACCTTCCAGACTCACATAGTCTCTGATAGCGTCCACCTACTATGGGTAGGTAGCAGGAATAGAGTCCAAGCAGGCAAGAAGGCCAAGGGCAGACCCCTCAGCCTTTTCCTCTGGACTACTGAAGCAAAGGGAGGCAACTGTGCAAAATTCTGTCCCTAAACTCACCAAGGGCAAAGAGAGGTCCCTGGGTTCCCTCTGGCTCATCTTTTCAGTACCCCCAAACAACTCGCCCCTTGCCTACTCCCCGAGGCTCTAGGGACAGCAGGGCAGACACGTGACAGAGGAACTGAGTGCAAACTCACCGAACCTTATAACCGGGATTCCTGCTCACACTCCTGAGGTCTCCTCACTTCTCAGCCTTGAGTGCTTTCAGGTAGCTGTTAGTTAGGGTCAGCAGATTGGAGGTAGGATGGAATGGGACCCACAGCTGGGGGTGTTTGCCCTTGATACTACCGGGCGCTCCAAGGTGAAGTCCTGGTTCTCGATGACCCAGGAGTAGAGGATGTTGCAGGGATCAAGGAAGATATCAGCGCAGCCCCTTCTCCCAGGGCAGCGACCCCACCACCGCAAACCCTAATCAGCTGTCAGCAGTAGCCAGCAGAGCTTGGCTGGCGCTAAAGGAGGCACGTGGGAAAGGCGGGAGTGAGGAGCGGGCACGTGGTCCGGGCTTCTCAGCCCCGTGCATGCCCCCCCCCGCCACCCCTCCCCCCCCCCGTGAGGAGGGGTTTGGGAAGGTAGGGGCGGTGCGCAAAGCGTAGGGTGCGAGCGCGCAGCCGGAGCTGTCCCCGGGACTTAGTGCTGAAAGTAGGCGCTGACGAACCAGGCGCCTGGTGCGGTGGCAAGAGAAGACCATGGCGTTCATGGTGAAGTCCATGGTGGGTGGCCAGCTGAAGAACCTCACCGGGAGCCTGGGGGGCGGCGAGGACAAGGGGGATGGAGACAAGTCTGCAGCCGAAGCACAGGGCATGAGCCGAGAAGAGTATGAGGAGTATCAGAAGCAACTGGTGGAGGAGAAGTAAGTGGAATTCCTTCTTCGCTCCTCTGACCCACGCACAAGTACACGAAGGCCGCTCTGCCCGCCACTGGGTCAGAGCTCCCCTGTACATCTCCTAAACATGGTAAGAGGGCGGGAGGTGCCCTCTAGGCTACTTTCACAACCATCCCGTTTCAAACCCGGGACCCTGTTCCAGCTTCAGCCTCTGGCCCAGAGGGAGTTGGGGGAAGGGCGATGAGTGAGTGCCTTGGGGGGAGGGTGCACGTGCATCTCTGATGAAATAGGTAATCCCTTAATCCGATCTGGTCTTAACCGCCTGTCTTCCAACTGGGGCTCCTCTGAGCCTGAGGCTGTAAGAAAAGTGCTTTTCATCTGGCAGGGCACAGAGTCATGGGGACAGATCCACCATGGGGATATTCATAGATACTGAGCCTACTGTGTGCAGTAGTTCTAGGGCAGAGCAGAGGTAGAGTGAGCTAGGGTCTGAACTTTGGGGTGAGGTTGCTCAGTTCAGAGCCTCGTTTTGCTTACTAGCTGAGTAACTTTAGGAAAGTCACTTAACATTTCTGTGACTCCTTTCCCCTTCTGGAAAATGGGAGTGGTGATCACAATATATGCTTTATATATCTGTGAGAGCTGAATGACTTCACTCATGTTAACCCTTCAGTACAGCATCTGGCACATGGCAAATCTTCATGAAAAGTCTTTATTGCCATTTTATTTAATCCTGCTTTTGTTTTGTGAATTGCCAAGTTTCATCCCCACTTTACAGAAGGGGAAGATAAGTGATTTACTGAAGGACATACCAAAAGTGTCAGTGGGGCCATGGGTCCAGAGTACCCCCCCACACACACACACCCTTGCACACATAATTTCTCTGCTCCCTTCACACAGCTTGTCAGAGAAGGAACGACAGACCCCAGTCAGTGATTGCAAAGGACAGCTCTGTCCTGGCAGGAGTGCAGAGTGTAGAGGAAGGACTCTGTGGTGGCAAAAGCTGAGTCGGCCAGTCTGAGATGCCTGGGCACAGGCCAGCTGGGGATTGGAGAACCCATATGGCCTCCTCCCAGGTCTTCCAGACCATCTCAGTCCTCCCTTTGCAGACCACCCACACCTTCCCTCAACCCCTGAGGTGACTTCACAACTGGTGTCCTTTCCCCACGCAGGATGGAGCGAGATGCACAGTTCACGCAGAGGAAGGCAGAACGGGCCACACTACGGAGTCACTTCAGAGACAAATACCGTCTGCCCAAGGTATCCAGGGTCTAAATTGTGACGTGCTACTGGCACCTGGACTTGGGAGCTGGACTTCCTCAGGGTCCCTCAGCTCTCAGCCCATAAAGACTCACAAAGTGCTTGATTCCATTTTTTCCTTTTCTTATTCATTTACTCACTCACTCATTCATTCACATACTCAGAGCTGAGACAGACCCTGGGCCTTGGGAAGCTTACAGGTTTGTGTTTCTGGAGTCAGTCCTTCTTTTCTTCACTTCCACCTCTCCAACCTGGGTCAAGCCTGGCCCATGACGTCACAGAGGAGTCAGAAAGAAGACCTTATAAGGGGGGAGCTCTTGTGAGGCTGGTGAATACGTGTGGAGAGCTGGCAGGAAGAGAGAACATGACTCTTCTTTCCTGTGCACCAGGCACTTAACCTTCATGTCCTCACCTGACCCTCTCAATAAAGCCGCTAGACAGTTGTCACTGCATGTATGAAAAGGGAACCTGAGCTCAGGGAGACAAAGGGACACCTATGAAGGGACACCTACAGTCATACAGCCAGTGGGTGAGAGTTCAAGCTGTGACCATTGGACTTCTGCTTACTCCAGCCCTCAGGCTACTTTCCAGGATATGGAAGTCTACCCACAAAGAACAAAGTACCCCCTTAGCCTTAGTCTCAGAAGCCCCTCCCCCATGCTTCCCATGATGCTGCAGCACTAGATTATCATACAAATGTGCCACTCCCACGTGGGACAAGCCACTTCCCAGAATATCACCCTCGTGATATTGCCCAGAACCTTGGCCTTGATTCTCTGCTCGAGTTCAGAGATGAAATATGTTGTATCCCATTTACTCAACCAACATGTGTTTACTGAGCCCCTGGCTGCTCTTGACTCCCCACAAGTCTCTCAAAGGCAAACCTGACTCAGAAAGTCTGCATTATTGACCATCCAGGTAGCAATGGGGTCATGGCTCAAATGCTTACACTACACATGTAAGAGACCTTACTCTGTTAGGAGGGAATTCTGAGTCTAGCAAAAAAGGCAAGACTTGGGTGCAACTGTGTAGGACACAGGAAAAGACCCCAAACACGCCTCCAGAGACCTCGGGGAGTGTGGTGGCTCTCAGTAGGTGCAAAAGGAGTCCAGATATTGAAATAAGTGACATAGGTCTGAATCTAGCTTACCACTTCCTTTCCTGATTGTATGATCTTAGGCAAATTGTTTAAAATCTCTGAGTCTCCTTTTTTTTTTTTAATTTGTGAAGTAGAGATGACAGGTCCCATGTCCCTGAGGATGGCTTTGAACTCCTGAGCCTTCCGATTCCACTCCCAAGTACTGAGATCACAGCTGTGGCCACTTCTCTTTTTTTTTCTTTTTTTTTTTTTTACTAGTTTTTGTTTGTTTGTTTTGAGACAGGTCCCATTATATATCCCTGGCTGGCCTGGAACTTGTGGTAGTAGATCAGGCTGGCTTTGAACTCACAGAGATCTGGTCTCTGTCTCCCAAGTGCTGGGATTAAAGGAGTGTTCCACCACTCTGGCTTTGCCTAGTTTTATGTTTGTTTGTTTTTGAGACAGGGTTTCTTTGTGTAGCCCTGGATGCCCTGGAACTTGCTTTGTAGCTCTGTAGACCAGGTTGGCCTCAAACTCAGAGATCCACCTGCCTCTGCCTGCTGGGATTAAAGGTGTGCGCCACCATGGCTGACATTTTCCTAGATATTTTTAGTTGCAAAAAATAAAAGCATTCTTGGTGCTGGAGAGATGGCTCAGTGGTTAAAACCACTTGTTGCTCTTGCAGAAGACTGGAGTTTAGTTCCCAGCATGTACATCAGAAGTTCACAATTGCCTGTAACTCCAGATCCAGGGGGTCTAATGCCCTTTTCAGGCCTCCATGGGCACCCCCCCACACACATGCACATACACATCAAAATAATAAAATAAATCTAAAAGAGAAACATTAAAAGCACCTAGGTCATTGTCAACCATAGACTAGGTATTGATAAATGGTACTGTCTTTCTTGTGCCATTCAGTGTAGTTAGCCACGGTCAACACATGACTCAGCCTGCTGTGACAAAGTGGCGTTTTCCTTTTGATTTAGTCTCTCTGCTAGTCCTTCAGTATCTCAGGTGAGTTAGGCAATGCAAAAGCTACAAGGTTTGAAAGTGCAAAGTCTGGCCGGGTGGTGGTGGCGCACGCCTTTAATCCCAGCACTCGGGAGGCAGAGCCAGGTGGATCTCTGTGAGTTCGAGGCCAGCCTGGTCTCCAAAGCGAGTTCCAGGAAAGGCGCAAAGCTACACAGAGAAACCCTGTCTCGAAAAACCAAAAAAAAAAAAAAAAAAAAAAAAAGAAAGTGCAAAGTCTGCACGTCCACCCATGGAAGGCTTAACTCAGATGTGGGGGCAGATGCTCACCTCAGAGGAATATGGCCTCCATGAATCCAGGGCCCCAGAGCCCAGCCTGCCGGGTCCTCCCTCCTAGACCTCCACCCTTGTCTCATCTCTCTTCCCCTCAGAACGAGACAGATGAAAGCCAGATCCAGCTGGCAGGTGGAGACGTGGAGCTGCCTCGGGAGCTAGCCAAGATGATCGAGGAGGACACGGAGGAAGAGGAGGATAAGGCCTCTGTGCTGGGGCAGCTGGCCAGCCTCCCTGGCTTGGACCTCAGCTCACTCAAGGACAAGGCCCAGACTACACTAGGGGACCTCAAGCAATCAGCTGAGAAGTGCCACATCATGTGACTACTTCCCCTGAGGTTGTCTCTGGGATGGCCAGAGGGCTGGTTCCACATGAGGGCTAAGAAAGTGTCTCAACTTCCAGATACCTCCACTCCATCTTGGGCTTTTCCCCCCCTGCCCTGGCCTAGCCCCAGAGCCTTCTCATCCATGTCCAGCCCAGGAGCTGACTCTCCCTCTTCATTGCCAGCAAAGTTCCCATTCTTCCCTCTCTCTCTCCCTCTTCTGCCTGGAAAGTTTCCCAAGTTGATAGGATTAGCCCAACCCTCTCTGGGTACAGCCCCTGTTCCTTCACACAAGAGCACTCACAGAAGGACACAGAAGCCCTGGCTCATTTGCCACAGATGCATCCTGGCACACGTAGACACACACCCCTTGGGTTCCCAGCCCCTCCAGATACCAGCACTTGGATGCTCAGAGGGACTCTGAGCACACAGGAGGCCTGTTCCTATCCTCACCTTTATCATCCTAGAAGCTGTTCCTTCTGGGTTTCATCTTGTCATCTGTAAAATGGGGCTGGACTGAGTGATTTCTAAAATTCTCTCCTGATTGGCATCCCTGGCCACTCAGAACAGAGCTCACATCCCTTCTTGGGCAGGGCAGCAGCTGCAGCCACAGCACCACACAGCTGCCACTGTGGGCTCTGGGAACGGAGCAGTGCTGTGTGAGGGGCGGAGTGCCAAGGAT